GTTCATCGTGTCCCTCGAGCTGAGAGAGTTCATTGGGCAACTCTTGCACGTTGCAGGGACGAATGGAGACGTTACTGGCGCCCGCTCGAGGAACTCGATGATCAACGGGAGCACAGGTGATACAGGTGATACTATATAAAAGGTGATCCAAATAACGAATACAGAAAAAGAAACGATACCGATTCTCGGAACTCCTTGAAAGCGTTCAACTGCGTGGTCCACAATTCCTTATCACGGAACATATTCTCTAATTTGAGCGTAAAGTGACATCCACACTCCGCCTGAAACACACCGTCAGTGTAGACAGACATTACAAGTATGCAAATGTTGATTAGAGGCACGCCCCGCGTTCATGTGATGCGCTGATGGACATAGCAATCCTGTACGCAATCATGGAGGATGTACTACACGTACTTCGACAACTCAAAATATGTGAACAAAGGCTACTCTTCGGCTCCGGCTATATTATAGGCTATGGCCATCTTGTCATTGGCATTTGAGCCGCAAAACTCACCAGTTTTGAGCCCGGGCCATGCCTATGAGGATACTGTGATACCCACCTTGAGCTTGCTGATCATCATCCTCTCCATGTCGTCAGATATACTTTTATCGAGTAGAAGACGCCTTGCCATATGTTGCTTGTAGTACCTGTAAGACAGGAAGTAATGCAAAACATAGTGCCAACGAAAGTGGTGCTTCCAAGAAAAATGCAATCAAAAAAAGCTGAAGTAATCTAGTACTTCTCAAAAACGTCCTTTTCCTGCAAGAAACGAAACAGCACCATGGCTTTGTCCAGTAATTTCTCGGCATTTTCGTCGTTCTCCTAAACAAATGCTTGGAATGCCGTCAGAATCAACACAAATTTCCTGCTATCACGTACCGATTTCAATCCTTTGCGAAGTTTCTCATCCATATACAGTGATAAATACTCTGGACTGTTTTTGTTCAGGTTGATAAATGTTTCAAATTCGGTCTGGATTCTATTCTTGAACATCTTGTCACGTTGGAAAGACATCAGCAAGAATTCGTCAAATCTCTCCTTCAGTTCCAATAGATCCTAAAAGAGGTGCAAGTAACTGAGTGAAGTGACTTGAAGAGTTCTGTCAAATACTCTCTCAGAGAAAAACGTAGTCTACCTAACAGCAGAATGTGGTTGCCTCACAGGGCCTCCCACAATTCGTGTCTACTTTCGGCTTACCTCAATAAACACCACAGGAGTCCTCTCGCAGTCTTCTCTAACTGTCGCAGTACCAGTTTGCCGGAGATATCTGAAATTAAAGCCACAATATGGCATACGCGTGAGGAAGATTGTTGATCTCGTAGGTTCAGAAAGCCTCCCCCCCCATTAGAGCTAGCACCACCACCACCATTGCTTTGAAATGCAGAACGGCTCTTTTGAAATATTTTAGCACATTACCATGGGTTGATAATAAAAATGCAAAAACATAAGATACCAGGCCTTTTCAACCTCTACCCTGTTCAAAAACCCCATTCCCCTTCGAGCGCACCTTTACGGAACGGCTGGTAACAAGATGAAGTTAAATTAGCATCAAGAAACCCCACCCGCCAAAACGAGGTGAGAGAGATAAAATAGCCAAGGGATAAATGGCAATTCACTTTATTTTCACTATTTCTGGAACCAAATCTGAACTAAGTAGCCGGAAATTGAGAAAATTACCCGCTCATTGCATCAGCCATCACCGATAGACCGTTCTCCACACGTTGAAGAAGCCCATAAAGCGATGCAAGTTGTTCAAACTGAACCAAAGAGTTTGTTTGATTCTCAATTTCCAATTCCGCTTTTGAAACTCAAGCTTTTGGATGGATCAACATTGCTTTCCCCCTAATTACTATCGCATTGGTGTCAGTCAAAATTAATTCTCAGAAAATATAGTTCAAACGAGCTAAACCGACAGGCATTCAGATTATTGTACTGTAAGTAGGAGAAATAATGTATCGATCAGTCTTCAGTAACGAGGCTTCACCTCTGATCAAATACCAGAAATAGTAAAATTGCCACGCCGCCCACTCATGAGGAGAGAGGATATGGCGCTCAAAATAGGAAAAATCAACAAAAAGAAATTTTCAGTCGTCTAAATTCGACCCCACTCTAGTATCAGCGGATGGGAACCATATACATCCTATCAATTACTGACTGAGAGTGGGATGGAAATGAGGAACTCTAGCAACCACGAAAATTTGCATCACGCCGAATGAATCTCCTTTCTTTCAGCGTCCAAATACGACTCCCGTCGAAGAAAACTCAATGTAGACATCACGCTGGATAGAGCGAGATGGTGAAGATTGGTGTTCTTGTGCCCACCCTTACGCCATAGCTGTATGGGAACCAACTACAAATTTTATTTTATGTTGGGGCTCAAAATTTTACTCCCATTCACTTGGATACTGCAAGACATTAGGAAAGTTCGTGAAATTGTTAACTGACGATCTGATAAAGCAAGTTAGTATCGGTAAGATATATAACTCACTTCGTCGTTGCCCAGCATCGCGTGTACACCACTGTTTTCCATACTGACTATTGTGTACATATGTTCCTTGATTAAGACATTCTCTAACACCTTAATAACCATTCGCTACACCTAAAACTAAAAAACAATATGGGGAAAGGGGCAAAAAGTAAAGTTTCGGAATATTTGAAAAAAAACCTTTACATCAAGAGACTTTGCCTAGCCGTGTGCCGGATCCAAAATGATCGTTTTGCTTTCTGATTATTCTCGATACAATTGTTCACCTAATAAGCTTTGAGCCTGATAAGCTCAAATAGGTCAGGACATATGCAATGCCAACCCGTAGCTTAGAGCTTCATACTTTTACTCATTAGGAAGAGTTCTGCACAATTCCAATTAAATAAAACGCGTTCAGAAAGTCCAAAGCGATCAAATGGACCATCTGCGCTGACGATAGCGCTGGATCATTGCTGATTTTTTTTCCACAGGACTTATTTATCAACCCCTACACATATTCTTCGATTGCAACTCTTAATCCAAAATATGGCAACTTCCAGATAACCAAGAAAAGCGTCTACAGTTTCCTTAGGTACATGAATGGAATTGCAAGTGCTAATTCAACTATTACAAGGGCCGTTCGAAGTTTTCTCGGTACCCGAGTAATCTGCGTGACAGGAATTTGAATATCTCAAAATTAGCGACATCACTGAAATATACAAATTTCATTGAAGACAGCGCCCGCGATGGACTTTGGCAGGTCTCAGGGGTCAAATTTGTTAGAACAGGTGGCCAATGAAGCACTAATCAAAAAAAAGTAGGAAAAAGGTGTGGAAGAGCGTGAAATAAGACCCTACGAAGTTTAAGGCATGTGGACGAGTTTCGCACACCTTTGGTGAGTTCTCCAATACACGTCGCCGCCTCGGAATCCAGAATTAGGCTTTATCAATTGCAGGTGCAAGCATTGACAGACTGTCTAAACCAGTCGGGGCGGGATTAACAGGAAAGGAGGCGTCAGCTCAGCCTTGTTGACTCCGCCCTCGTCAACCAATCGATTTCGCCGCAAGAGTGGGATTTCCGCTGTGGTTGCGTACTCCGCGTTCGTTTTCATTGGAGGTTTTTTCACTTTGGTT